GGAGTAGTGTCCGGGGCAGCGGCAGCCCCAGAGTCGACCTCCGAAGCACCAAGCACACCACCCCCAGAGGCAGCACTAACACCAGCTCCAGACCCAGGCTCTCCAGAAACCGAAGGGACACCCTCACCCCCAGACGCAGCACCCCCAGACTCCGCACCAGCACCCCCAGACTCCGCACGACCAGTACCAGCCCCCGGAAGACAAGAGTCCTCTGCAACCCGCGGCTCAGCTCCAACTCCAGCACCCCCAGAACCAGAGACCTGTACAGGGACAGTCGCAGGACCAACCTCCCGAGAGGGAGCACCTGCAGGAGGCGGCGAGGAAGACTGTGGGGAGGGAGGCTGTACAGGGGGGGCTACCGAAGGGGGAGGGCTAGCCTGAGACACACCAGACGGGGCTGGACCAGGGGGGGGAGGCTGTACCGGGGGAGCAGGCGGGGGAGCGGCGGTCAGGAAGAGAGGGGGGGGAGGGACCGGGAGACCTCGACTGGGGTACCTGACGTAGTAGGGGGTGGACTCCTCGAAACGGACGTCACGGGAGTCAAAGAACCGGTGAGAGGGAGGGTGGTAAAAGGTGAAGTCAGAGGAGTCCTCAGGGAAACCAAGGAAGACACAAGGAACGGCGCGAGGCGAGAGCTTGTCCGCGGAGGTGTCGCGGACAAGAGCCAAGCACCCCCAGACACGAAACCTCGACGCGACACCAGGGGACCCTGTCCAAAGACTGGTCGGTGAAGCCTCTGGCCGAGAGACGCGTGGCCAGAGGTTCAGCTGGTGCGCGGCGTACCTGACCGCGTATGGCCACAGGAAATGGGGGGCACGGGCGTGAGTCAAGGAGGTGCGGGCAATCTCCTATGCGACGCTCAGCAACCCCATTCTGCTGTGGGGACTCCGGAAGCGTCCAGGACTGACGAATGCCCTGTTCGCGACAGAATCCAGCGAGAATGCCGGAGCGAAACTCGCCCCCGCGGTCGGAGTGGAGACAGCTGACACGACGACCACGAGTGTCCTGGGTGGTAAGCAACCACCTGATCAGCGTAGAAGTCACCTCAGACTTCCTCGCCAGGGGGAACACTGTGGTGTAGCGGGAGTAGTCGTCAACGACCACCAAAAAGAAACGCTCACGCTCAGGGCCAGGGCGAGGAGAGGGGCCCCAGACGTCCAAGTGCAGCGTCTCAAAAGGCTCGGTGGCCGGACGAAGGGAGGAGGAGTGAGGGGTGGCGCGCAGCCTACCCTCGACGCAAGGACCGCACGGTGGCGCAAGGGACGGCGGCAGCGACGGCAAGACACGCGGGAGACCTAAGACAAGACGCTGACGAGACATAGCGCGAAGACGAGGAGGAGAAGGGTGCCCCAGCCGGTGGTGCCACAAAACGGTGGGGTGGGCAAGCGACCGACAGGAGCACGACGCAGCGACCGGACTAGACGGAGGAACCTGACAAGACACAGCTACCTGGGGGGACGGAGCAACCTGGTGAGACGCGAGGACTCGAACGGGGGGCAAAACAGGGGCCGGGGGCAGGAGGGGCGGCTGTGGCTGCGGCTGCTGCTGCTGCTGCAGTCGCTGCTGAGCGCGCGGGCCAGTGTGAAGAGTGTAGAGACCGGAGCCCGGCTCAGCAGCAAAAGTGGCGAGGGGCTGGTAAGAGTCCCCGTCAACACACACCGCAGTCTCTCCAGAAGGCTCAAACCACACACCCACGTGCTGACTCACGAGGGGTCGCACGCCCACCAAGTTCCGGGAGAACGAGGGGACGTGAAACCCAGTGAGAGACCCAGAAGGAGCAGCCGGACACGGCAAGGTGGTAGTGTGACGCGCGGTGACTGGTCCCGAAGTGGGATCAGCCAGCGCCACAGAAACAGGCGCAGGAAGAGGCGTAAGTGTCGTGCTGTCACGAAAGAAGCAGTGAGAGGCTCCAGAGTCCAGCGTGAACGACAGCGAACCGTCCTCTGAGGTAGCCGCTGGACTAGAGTCTACACATGAACCTACACTAGCAACAGGCAACTGAGCAAGGCTAGCACCTAAGCTAACAACACCAGAGTAAGCAGAGTCAGAAACACTAGAGTCAACAACAGCATACATAGCATGGGGATTACCAATCAGATCAACTAACTGCTCAGCAGACATGCCCCACAGAGCGGAGCCGTAACGCTGAACAAGAGGCAGCCAGTCAGGGGCAGGAGCACCAACCCCGTAGACCAAACGAACCGTGTCAGTGAGCTGAGCAAAGCACTGACCAGGGGGGTGAAACCGGCCACAAGGGTGGCCACGACGAGTGCCTGTCAGAACCTGGTAGGTGCAGGGAGTGTAAACAGCACCGCGCTGGGTCTGACGCAGCCCCGACCCTGGAGCCAGCTGCTGCCGCTGCTGCTGCTGAGGCTGCTGGGAGGAGAGGGGCTGCTGGTGCTGCAGAAGCTGCTGCTGACGCTGAGCCTGGTACCACGCCGCTGCTCCACCAACCGGGGCAGGAAGTACAGGAGGCGACTGACGAACTCGGGCGTCGCCACCACCAGCAGGCGCAGTGGAGTCACCAGTCACTGCACGAGGCGCCTCTCCAGGCCCTGAACCTCCACCGCCGCCAGGCGCAACGCCACCTCCACTACCTCCGCCTCCACCTCCACTACCACCACCAGAACCGCCTTTCTTGCCACTCCTACCGCGGGACCGCGACGCAGTCGTAACAGCAGCTGCAGTCGCGTCAGTAGCGGCAGTGGCAAGTGAGGCAGTAAAGGTGGGTAACTGCGGGACTGTGCACCCGTGGAAGAGTGGGGGGGGCACAGCACCAGAGGCAGCGGCTACCGAGCGAAGGTTGCTCTCGACGTCCTTGAGTGCAGACTCAAGGACCTCGACGGTGAGCTCACTAGGGTGCTTCAGCAGAAGCGCGTCGCGAACGGAGGCAAGGCGGTCAGGGAGGCTAGTGGCGATGAAATAGATAGTGATCGCCATAGGGGGAGGAAGCAGTGCAAGCTGTGCCTCAGTGCAAGCAGCGCGGTAACTAGCGTCGAGCGAGCGGAGGTGAGCGATCAAGTCAGCAGAGCGCTCAAAAGACGCTAGGTCAGGAAACAGGAATGGGAGGAACAGGCGGCCAAGAGAGACAGCAGCGGGAGTAGAGTAGCGGGCCTTAATCGCAGTGAGGTACTCAGCAGCGGTGCGAACCTGAGTGAAGTGAACCTCCTCAGACTCAGGGAGGAGGCTGCTGAGCGCGATGCAGGCCGCAGCGTCACGTGACTTCCAAGCCGTCTGGTCAGCTCGCTGAGTGGCAAAGCGGGCTCTAGCGGCGTCATCAGGGGCAGGTCCTAAAGGCGTAGGGTCGGAGGGCGCAGGTAGGGCACCAGTAGCGTGCGCCCAGAGGGTCTCGCCTGCCTGGACCTGACTCTCTAACAGACGGCGAGCACGAAGAAGCCAGACGGAAAAATCAAGAGGTCTACCGTCAGCGTCGAAACGAAGGACGCGAGGGGTCGCCATAGTGTGCAAACGGAATTGGCAGGGAAAGCAGGGTGCAGCGGCAAGGGGGAACGGGCAGGAAGAGCGGGCAAGAGCGGGCGGGTAGGTAAGGTGTGGCGGGCGTCTAGGGTAGGAGCGCGCGGGCTAGGGCAGGAGCGCGCGGGCGGGTAGGGCAAAGGCGCCGGGCCAGGGCGACGGGCTGGGGCGCGGGCCTGGGCGACGGGCTAGGGCGCGAGCAGGGGGAACCGCGGGTCGACAGGCAGCGGGGGGAAGCGCGGGTCGACGGGCAGCGGGGGGAAGCGCGGGTCGACGGGCAGCGGGGGGAAGCGCGGGTCGACGGGCAGCGGGGGGAAGCGCGGGTCGACGGGCAGCGGGGGGAAGCGCGGGTCGACGGGCAGCGGGGGGAAGCGCGGGTCGACGGGCAGCGGGGGGAAGCTCGGTTCGACGGGTAGCGGGGGGGGGGGGGGGGGGGGGGGGGGGGGGGGGGAAGCGCGGTTCGACGGCAGCGGGGGGGGAAGCGCAGCGCGACCTGCAGCGGTACGCTAGATCGGGCTACGCTAGATCGGGAGGAAGAACGAGCGGTAACGAACGAACGGGACTAGATCGGGCCGGCACTAGGCTCGGGCAAGACGGGCGAAACGAGAGCTAGGATCAGGCTCGGGTGGTACGATCGGAGAACGGAGAAACGGGATCCCACAGGATCCTAACCTAACTGATACCATGTCAAAATGAGAAATGGATGATGCATTGATGTTGGTTGGGGTACATATAGCTAACCCTAAGTTTTGTACCCCCTAAGACAAACCTCATTATAGGCTACAACATTTGACACATATTTACCTGTCCACTAAAGTTTGCACTAGTACGGTATCTTTCGACATTCTAAACGCATCCAATGCTAGGTCCAAACGATTATTTCACGACTGTGAACTTAAAGCACTCGAATAGTTGTTCCTGGATGAAGTGAAGTGCTATGTTTGCTACATTGGCATTTTCTTTTGCATAGACTGTAAAGCATTCGGAAGAAACATCTTGCCTTTAGTGTTCTGTCGACAGTATTTATCCTAGCGGCTCGCGACTCTAATGAACTCGTTTCTCGCTCTTTACAGTCATTGCAATTCGCCGCGTTTCGACTTGTAGCGAAGGCTCGCTTGTGGCACCACCAGATCACATTACAAATCGGCGCGACGCGAGACTTTCAGAGGCCAGAAATTGCAAATTCAATCCACCTCGCCAAACCAGCGAAGCAAACCCAGCCCTGGGTTTTCACTCTCACAACCCTGGGTGGCGGCACTCCCTCAAGGGCTTGATGTGATTGGCGCATTCTTCCATACCCTTGGTCGCGCCTCGACCCACCCTGGTCTGGGAATTGCGACCTTGACAGCCCACAACGCTCACCTACCTTGCACCCATGGCCGCATTGCATTGCAAGCAATGTACGGGGATGAGCCATCGAAATAAAGGGCCAAGCCCCCCATTTCCTAGCCATTGCGAATCACGTAGTCTCCTCATTCTATTCGACCTAGTTCCTTCATCGCAGTGCTCCTCGCCACACACACGCAATGTCAGGCCGTACATTCATGTTGCTCCTAGCGCTGGTCCTCGTAGGTGTCCCGTCCTGCCTAGCGGCACCGGACCAAGGGTACGACGCGTCGTTCAGCCGGCACTTCCGGCTCAAGTCCTTCTGCAACGGCACAGACTACTGCAAAATCGGGCCGGACGGCACCGTCTCGCTCACTGCCGCCCAGAACAAGATGGGAGGTTCGTCTCACGTCCTTGCCACGCTCAGAGTGGTTTAATATGTGGGGAGTCCTGTTTTTGCCTGGAGACGCCTGGCAGAACAGCAACGTGACGAGCGACTGATCACTTCATGTTCTGTTTTGTTTCTTTTTGTTGGCATTGCGTGTGGCGCAGCATTCGAGTCGAAGAGCTACTTCCAGTACGGCATTTTCGAGGTGAAGATGAAGCTGCCGCCGGGGTACTCGGGCGGGCTGATCCCGTGCATCTACCTCATCTCGGGCGAAGGGCTGGGCTACCGCGACATTCACGACGAAATGGACTTTGAGTTCCTCGGGTGGAGCGACCCCATGCAGATTAAAATTCACACCAACGCCATTGCGGGCGGGTATACCAACGTCGAACAGGTAAGAATCCCGCAGGTAGGGACTTGAAAACGGGCCTTCGAGTTTCTCGGGTGGAGCAACCCCATGCAGATCAAGATCCACACCAACGCCATCGCGGGCGGACCAACGTCGAACAGGTACGCAACCCCCTGGTTGATATTCAAGTCGACTCAAGAGTGTCCTCGGGTCGAGCGACCCTGAACAGATTAAGATCCACACCAACGCCTTTGTGGGCGGGTACACCAACGCCGACCAGGTACGCAGACAGGCAGTTGGCTCGGGGGCTCCAACGTTTACATTCACGATTATCCCGCCGGCTCTGCGTGGGATAGCTCCGTCGAGCAAGTAGCGACTTGAGTGGGCGGGAAGAGCTGGCAAGGCCACGATTGGACCAGCGTATAACCGCGAAGAGCTCGCGCGGCGACTAGGTGACAGTTTGGAATATTTGAAGCGCGAGTGGAAATGCACGTGCCCGCGAACGGTATGGTGGGTTGGTTGAAGTGACATGAACGGATTTGAAACAATTTCGTTCTCACACGAGATGAGTAATGAGGATTTCGGTTTGTAATTCGACAATGTGCTTTCACACACGATGCGGAGAAAGGAGCACCGTGCCATGCCGTCTTCACAACCTCCCGTTTTCATTTTCCCTCTTCCCCTTAGTAACAGTTCGCATTCGACCGCGAGGGATATTTTTCCACACTCACGCCTTCGTAAGGTCGCGATTGACTTACGGTCAGAGTGGTTCAAGTTCACCGTTCCTTGCGCGTCACTTTGCGGCTTCCTCTTTGTCCTTTCATTGGACCCCATTTCCCTTTTCCCTGCACTACAAGTGCGCATTCGGCCCTGACTTTAAACGTACACCATGGTGTACGAGCCCAACTGGCTCGTGTGTTGAGGCGCCTCAAAAGCCCCGCGTCCTTTCATAGACCCCTTTTCCCTTCCCCCCCCGCAGTATAAGTTTGCGTTCGACCCGTCGGCGGACTTCCACACGTACACCATGGTGTATGCGCCCAACTGGCTCGTTTTGAGGCGCCTGAAACCCTCCTTTTTAAAACTCCCTTCCCCTACCCCCCGCAGTTCAGGTTCGCGTTTGACCCATCTGCGGACTTCCACACGTACACCATGGTCTACGCGCCCAACTGGCTCGTGTGGAAGATCGACGGCAAGCCCATCCGCATCACGTGGCGCGAATCGGGCAAGCCCTTTCCCTCGCTCCCCATGAGAGTTATGGTGCGTTTCCCCTCCACCTCTCCCCGGTTCGTCTCTTCGTTTCTTAGAAATGCGTTTCTGCCACCTCACCCCTTAGCGTTTCTGCCACCTCACCCTTCCCCGTTTCTGCCTCACCCTGTTTCACGTTGACGCTTTTCGCCATGAAGACCATTCGTAGCAATTCTACGTTTCATGAAGCTTATCTAGCCCATCCCCACTTTCCCCTACTAACGATGCCCTCCCACAAGCCCCCCTCTCCGTTCCTCTCCCTCCCCTCACCTCACCGTCTCGTTGCTGCCTAGCAGGGGTCGATATGGGACGCGTCCTTTTGGTTGCCGTACAAGAGCGACTACTCCAAGGGCAACGTGACGGTCAAGTTCCGCCGCTTCGACCTCAAGGACGCCTGCCGCGCCGTAGATCCCAAGGTCGAGCCCGCTTGCGCCTTCCGCAAGGATGCGCGCAAAGGCGCGTGGCTGACGCGGCCAACACGGAATGACATCGCACGCGCCAAGCGACACAGAACGCTGTACCTGTACAAAGAATCTGGCGGATGGCAAAAGATTGTGTAGGAGCTCGTAGACTGTTTGTATCTAGGGTGTCTCCTAGGTGGATCACACCATAATTAGGAGCTAGACAATAGCTTGAGAGCAGGATGTAGCTGACAGATGCGGTACAGGCTTCACCTGATAGTAGTAGGTAGTATTTCTGACGCAGCCCTTTTGTGTAAAAGAAATTATGTATTTCACTAAGTAGCTGTAGCAAACCTTGTGCTGAAATCAGGGAACATATAAACATTTTTTTTTTCACATTTTGCCACTTGAAGTCCTTGTTTGGCCTGCTCTTAATGGATAATTAGTTGCACATCAATATTAATTGCACATGTTACAATGCCCAACAAGGTAGCATATGTGTTGACAGGTGTATCTATCTGTCAAATTTTGTTACATCTGGTTCGCTTGAAGTTGTGGCAGGAACTCCGCACCTCGAATCTGACCTAATTTCAACATTATGTCGACAGTGAAGTGAACCCCCCAGCTCCATTTCCAGTCGGTGAGCATGTTGGCGTCCCACTTAGCTGGGACGTTTGCTCTAGCATGATCGCCATCGCTCCTCGATCCCATGGGACTGCCGAAGGACCGTCGATCGCGTCGTATTTGTTGGCAAGCGCGCCGCCCGTCGCCGCGCGGCGCCTCCTCGGCTCGGAGCGCCGAGATGCTTCGACGGCCGTCGTCGCTCCTCCGCGCCTCCATCCTCCTCCTCAGCTGCGTCGTCTCGCTCTCGCCACGTGGCTCGGCCTTATTGGCTGGCAGCGCCCACTGGCGCAACGTTGAGGCGCAGTGGCGCCATTCCCCCGAACCGTCGCAGGCCGCGCGGAGGGCTAGCGGGGAGACGGAAGGGGGAAATGCGGAGGGGATGGGAACCGCCGCGTGGAGATGGGGCGAGGGAGATTATGGCGGGGAAGCAAATGGCGGAAAGGATATGGTTAGCCGCGGAGGGGAAGGGGAAAGGATTGTTGCAGAGAGAGATGTGCGCGCAAGAGAGGGGGAAACACGTGTGGGCGAGCGAGTTGAGCAGGTGGGGGCAGAGATGGGCTTGGGGCGGGGGGGCAGGGATGGGGGAAAGACTGGCGGAACGCGGGGCGGTCGGGAAGGGGACGCGGCGACAATGGCATGGGGGGAGGCGGCCGCATGGGGGGGGTGATGGTGCACCGCGCGCAGTGGCACTCCAGCAGACAGCGGAGGGGCGCGCAGGCGGACGGCGGGCAGGGGGACGGCGGGCGTAGGGAGGCTGGAAGGGTCAGCGCCAACGCGGCGGATGGGGCGGAGGAGGCGGAGAGGGGCGGGGCGGTGGCGCACCACTCTGTGTGGCGCACCCATGGGGCGGCGAGGGTCGCGGAGGGGGGCGGGCAAGTGGCAGAAGCGGAGAGGAATGATGAGGAGGTGCGAGGGAGTGATTGGAGGGGGGGCGATGGGCGGGCAGGCGATGGGCGGGCAGGCGTGTCTGGTGCTGCAGTGGCAGCGGGTGAGATGAGGGGCGCAGACGGTGATGCGGAGGGGGGTAGTCGGAGTGGTGGGTCTGAGCACCAGGGGGAGAGAGCAAGGGTTGGCGAGAGAGTGGGGCATGCGCGAGCAGGCGAGGGCGGCGAGCGGGGGACAGGGGGCACGCCACGCGCGTGGCACCACGCGCTGCTGCACGGCCACCCGCCCACACGCGCGCCTCCCCCTCCGCATCCCCTTCCCCCTCGCCCTCCCCCTCCTCCCCCGCTACTGCTGGCGCGCACTGCTGTGGCGGAGGGTGGTGGGCATATGGGAGGGGAAGTGGGGCTGGGCGGGAGAGGGGACACAGGAGAGGGAATGGACTTTCCCCCACGCCATGCGCGGATGCACGCGCACGAGGTGGCGCGTGGGGCGCCCCCCGCCTCACTGCTGCCGCTCTCTTCCGCCGCCAGAGATGGGGGGGGAGGAGGGAGCACAGGCACGCCGCTGCCCCATGCGCCACTGCACGAGCGTGTATCCGCGGGTGAGGGTCCTCCTCTCCCCATTGAACTCTCTGCCAGTGCTGAGGGTGACGGTGATGGGGGCTTGGGAAGGGGGGGAGGAGAGGCGGGGAAAGGGGAAGGAGTTGCTGGGCTGGTTGCAAGGCCAGGAGGGCAGGGAGGGAGAGGGGATCGAAATGGAGGAGGGGGAGGGGGCGAAGAGGGAAGGAGCAGTACTTGGGTGCACCACGAGCGGATGCATCATGAGCGGTTGCAGGGGGGTGCTAGTAAGGAGGAGCAGCAGCAGCAGGCAGGGGAGGGGGTCAGTGCGTCGGATGATGCGATGAGTGAGGGTGGGGGACCTGCGGAGGGGGCGGGGCCCGGGAGGTGGCATGTGCATGGTGCAGCGCAGCACGATGGTAGTCACGGTGATGCTCCCATGGGCGCCGGGTTGCACTTGCACCCCAGTCCTCACACACAGCCGGTGCAGCCGATGCAGCACATGCAACACGCACAGCACACACAGCAGGATCCGCAGGTGCAGCAGGAGCAGCACACACAGCAGCAGCAGCAGCAGGAGCAGGGCGGGGCAGGGGCAAGAGGGGTGCAGGTGGCAGAGGAGAGGGACGTGAGGATGCGAGACGGCCATCACAGCTCATTCCATGTGAGCCACAGCAGCAATGCTGATGTTGCTTTTGAGAATTTCCAAAAGCAAGGAGCATGGGAGCAACACCAACATCGCACCGCATTCCATGGGAGCCACGACAGCACAGAGCATGGGAAGGATGACGGCAGTCAGCAGTACGCGCAGGGTGAAGGCGGCACACAGCTGGGCGCTGGCGGCGTGGCATGGGGTACGGATTTTGTGAGTGGGAGGGAGGAGAGGCGAGGTGAGGGGAGGGGGAGCGGGCGAGTGCATGTGCATGGTGAGAGGGCGCCGAGTGAGGAGGTGCAGGAGGGGAGGGCGGAAGGGGCAGTCGAGGCAAGGGCTGAGGGTGGGGATGAAGACACGAGTTGGATTATGCACGAGGGGCAGCAGCACCGACCAGCACTGCACTCACGGCCAACGGTGACTTTGGAGACGCCTCAAAAGGCGGAAGGGGCTGAGGGCGGGGATGAAAACATGAGCTCGGTTCTGCATGAGGGGCAGCAGCACCGACCAGCACTGCACACGCGGCCAACAGTGCTGCGGCAGGGCGTGGATGGGCATAGGGAGGCGGAGGGGGCAGCAGAGGCAATGACTGGGGACGTGGATGAAGACATGCATGGGCTGGAGCAAGAGGGGCAGCAGCACCGACCAGCACTGCACACGCGACCAACTGTTCTGCGGCAGGGAGTGAAGGGGCTCAACGGGGCAGAGAGCGCATGGGCGGAGGGCGAGAGCATGGGGAGGGCAGCAGATGGGACGGCTGGGCATGGGGATGCGGGGGGAGGTGCTGTGAAGCTGCAGGGAGAGCAGCACCAGCCGACGCTGCCGATAGAACTGCACAGGCCGGCACTGCACGGGGGACTGATGGAACAGCAGCATGGGGAGGAGAATGCACACAGTGGGGCGGATGGGGCAGCTTGGAGGCAAGGCGAGGCAGACGGGCAGAGAGGCGAGGAGGCATGGGAGGCAGCGGGTGAGGGAGAAGTGGGCGTGGGGGACGGAGGGCGAGGGGGCGAGAGGAGTGGGTGGGAGGGCGGCATGGGCGTGGGGAGAGAGGCCCACAGGGAGCAGCGCGTGGGTGGGCGCGGGGAGGCAGCAGAGGAGGCTGTGGTGGCGCGGGTAGAGGGGCCGGGGGAGGTGGCTGGTGGGGGGCGAGTGCAGGACAGCCCCGATGGGTTTAGCAGTGGCGGTGAAAGTGGGCATGGGGATGGGGATGCAGATGGTGGGCAGGGGATGACAGCGCACCGCAGCGCTTGGCACTCGCAGCATACAGGGGATGGCGAGAGGCTTGGGAGGGCAGAGACGAACGGGAGGGCAGAGACCAGCGGGAGGGCAGAGAGGGGTAGGGAAGAGCAGGGGCAGTGGGAAGGGATGGGGATGCAGGCAGAGCAGAGTGACATGCGGCTTGCTGTGGGAGGGGGGGAGACAGGGGTGATGGGACAGGGGCAGTGGCAGCAAGAGGATGGGGGAGTTGACCTGCTGACGCCACACCATGTGTCACTGCACCAGCAGCACCAGCAACACCAGCAGCACCAGCAACACCAGCAGCACCAGCAACACCAGCAACACCACTCCCATGGCCACAGCTCCTCTCCGCTTTACTCTGTTCCCGCAGCGCATGCCCCACCCATCCCCATTGCGCCTCTCACCTCCCTTCCACCACGCCTCCCTGCTGCTGCCAGCAGCTTCAGCGACGCAGGCAGCAGCAGTAGTAGTGGCGGCAGTGTGAGGTTGAACGCAGCAGCAGCAGCAGCAACAGGAGGTGGGGGTGGGGGTGCAGGTGGGGGCGGGGGGGTGAGTGCAGCAGCAGGGGGGCGGGTGGACTGGCAGTCAGTGGAGACAGACAAGCAAGTGCTGGTCAACCTCAAGCTGCACGTGCTCAGTGACCCCTCAGGTTAGTACCAGTCGGTGTGGTGTCACCACTCACGTGCTGCCACGTGCTGCCACGTGCTGCCACGTGCTGGTCAACCTCAAGATTCACCTGCTCAGCGACCCCTCTGGTGTGGTAGCAGCCCCTACTACCACGTGCTGCCGTGTGCTACCACGTGCTGCCGTGTGCTACCACGTCGCGTGCTGCCTTGTGCTACCACGTGCTGCCATGTACCCCATTTCCTTCCCTCCCTTTTGCTTTCCCTCACCTCTCCGCCCACTTCTCAACTCCCTCCACCCCTCCTCGGCCCCCCTGTCCCACCCTTCGGCCCGCCACCAGGCACGCTGGATAACTGGAACCCAAAGGACCCCACCCCCTGCTCCTGGACGGGCGTACAGTGCAACCCCTTCTCCCAGCAGGTCAGTGTGTAATTTGTTTCTCTTGGTTGTTCCGTGCCCTCGCCACACTTTCCCCTCGCCACACTTTCCCCTCGCCACACTTTCCCCTCGCCCTTGGCCTCGTCCCCCAACCCCCACCCTCCTCTTCACCCCTCCAGGTGGTGGGGTTAGACCTATCAGCAGCATCCCTGCAGGGCGATCTGGCCTTCCAGGACCCGCCTCTGGGAGCGCTCACATCGCTGCAGCGCCTGCAGCTGGCCGACAACCTCTTTTCGGGCTCCATCCCGGACTCTCTCTCTTCTATCCGCAGCCTGCAGGTGAGATCAATGCAGGTTCTCTGTCAACGCAGGTTCAATGTATCTGGACATCATTGCAGCTGGCGGACAACCTCTTCTCAGGCTCCATCCCGGACTCTCTCTCTTCTATCCGCAGCCTCCAGGTGAGGCACACAGGTCAATGCGTGTGCACAGCACACGCAATCTCATCCCATGCACACGAGTGACACTGCAGCTGCAGCTGACTGACAACCTCTTTTCCGGCTCCAGTCCGAACTGGCTCTCTGCCATCCGCAGCTTACAGGTGAGGTCAACGCGTGTGCGCACAGGTTAGCCCACACAAGTGACCACAGCCCCCCGCACTGCAGCTGGCCAACAACCTCTTCTCAGGCTCCATCCCCGACTCGCTCTCTTCTATCCGCAGCTTACATGTGAGGTCAACGCGTGTGCACACAGGTGCCAACGCGTGGGCAGTGGGCACACAGGTTGGCCCACACATGTCACCAGACCAGACCACACATGCCCACACATCCTCACTGCCGCTGGCCGGCAACCTCTTTTTGAGCTTCATCCCGGACTGGCTCTCTGCCCTCCGCAGCTTACAGGTGACTTCAGTGCATGCTCACACCGGGGAGGTCAATGTGAACACACAGGATCTCATCCCACTGGCACTAGTGCCCAGATTCCTCTCACTGCAGCCTGCAGCTGGCCGACAACCTCTTTTTGAGCTCCATCCCGGACTGGCTCTCTGCCATCCGCAGCTGACAGGTGACCTTCATGCTTGTGCACACAGGTGAGGCCCACCCACCCACACATGCCCGCACGGCATCTCATCCCATTTGCACGACGAGTGATCAGGGCCCACCTCACTGCACCTGCCCGGCAACCTATTCTCCGGCTCCATCCCCAACTCGCTCTCTGCTATCCATAGCCTGCAGGTGAGGGCTGTGATGCATGCATACAGGTCCCCTCACTGCCACAGGTCAATGCGTGTGTACATACAATCTCATCCCATGCACACGAGTGATCAGGTCAGGACCCACCTCACTGCAGCTGCCCGGCAACCTCTTCTCCGGCTCCATCCCCAACTCGCTGTCTTCTATCCGTAACCCGCAGGAGAGGTCAATTGAGGTCCACGCGTGGCCTGGGTGAGGTCACTGCCCGCACAGGAGCTCATCACCCTCCGCGCAATGCCACTTGGAAGTAGTGACTAGAGTCCTCCTCACTGCCTCCTCACTGCCTCCTCACTGCCTCCCGGCCCCCCTCCCTGTCCCCCTCCCTTCCCCCCATCCCTTCCCCCCATCAGGTGCTAGAGCTAGCCAACAACGATCTAGACGGCATCATCCCCCCCACGCTCTTCTCCAACGTGCCTTCCCTCGCCACCGTCGACTTGAGCCACAACGCCCTCTCGGGCCCGCTCCCCCAGGACGTCTCAGCCATGCAGTCGCTGCTCTCGCTGGACGTCAGCGGTAACCGCCTCGAGGGACCACTGCCGGACAATCTGTCGCAGCTGCGCCAGGTGTCGCAGTTAGTTCTTGATGGCAACAAGGGACTCACTGGGTCGCTCAGTCCTGCTGTGCTGGGCTCGCTTCCCTCGCTCCAGGTGCGTAACAATGCTTGAGTGTGTATGACTACTTGTGCTGGACGTCAGTGGTAACCGCCTTGAGGGACCGCTGCCGGACAATCTGTCACAGCTGCGCCAGGTGTCGCAGCTGGTGCTGGATGGCAACAAGCGGTGCTGTGCTGGGCTCACTGCCGTCACTGCAGGTGTGTACGATTGTGGGTGGATGGGCGTGTGTGAGTGTGTGAGTGTGGATTTGTATGTGTGAGAATGGGTGTGAGAAATCAACGATTGCTTACAATAGTGCGCTACAACGTCAGAAACGTGTTCTCAGTGGCCCGGCCTCTGCTCACGTCTCTTCACTTCTCTCCGCCTCTCTTCACCTCTCTTCGCCCCTCTCCCCCCCCCTAATCCCACCAGGTAATCTCAGCACGAGGCTGCAGCCTCAGCGGTTTCCTGCCGCCTGCTCTCGGCTACGCGCCGCGCCTGCAGTCGCTGGATCTGGGCGGCAACCAGCTGGCGGGCGGCATACCGCCCACGTGGGGGCAGATGGGCGGCTTGACCTCTCTGGAGTTGGCCGGCAACCAGCTGTCTGAAAGCATTCCCTCCGCTCTCAACGGCCTATCTGCTCTGCAGGTGGGTTCGAGGCACAGGGGGTTGGAGTTTGCATGGGGCTGTGGGAGATGGGCGGACTGACCTCGCTGGAATTGGCCGGCAACCAGCTGTCTGAAAGCATTCCCTCCGCTCTCACGGACTCTCCGCCCTACAAGTTCGGTTCCACTTGAATAAGTCAAGGAAGGAGGTGGAGGGAAGGGGGGAGGAGAGGGGGGGATGGGAAGGGGGGTTGTATAAGGCAGGGGTTACATCTGCCTGCGCCCCCAGACAAATCGGTCCGGTTTGACTTGAATATCCCAGTGCGGCGCGGCTTGACATTTGGCTGTGCCAGATGGAGCCTGACCTCTCTGGTGCCAGATGCGGATGAATGGCAACCAGCTGTCTGTCTGATCGCATCCTCTCTGCTCTCAACCGCCTCTCCTCTCTCCCTCCCTCCTCTCATGCCTGCCTGCTTGCCTATCTGCATGCATGCCTGCCTGCCTCCCTCCTCCCAACAGAGGCAGGACGTGAGAGCAACGGGCTGAGCGGCACCATTCCAGCACTCGACAGCCTTGCGTGCACTCTTTCCTCCCAATCTTCCTCATTGCTCTCTCCCTCCCTCCTTGCCTGCCTGCCTGCCTACCTGCCCCCCCCCTCATTCTCACTCAACAGAGGCTGGACCTCAGCAGCAACGGGCTCAGCGGCACCATCCCAGCTCTCAACGGGCTCACCGCTTTCAACCCTCCCCAGTGCTCTCTCCCTGCTGCCCACCATCCCACCTCCTCCCTTATCCCCCCCACAGAGGCTGGACCTCAGCAGCAACGGGCTCAGCGGCACCATCCCAGCCCTAAATGGGCTCACCGCGCTCACCGCTCTCAACCTCTCTGCAAACCAGCTCTCAGGACCCGTCCCCACCGACGGCGTCCTGGGAAGCTTCCCGCCTTCTTCCTTTGCCGGCAACCCAGTCCTCTGCACTGGGAACTGCGCCTCTCCCCCTGCTGTCCGCCCCCCCCCAACCATTGCTCCCCCCATCTTCCCCCCGCCGACGTTCTTCCCCCTGCCCGTCCCCATGACTCCTCTCCCCCCGCTCTCCCCTCCACCCCCCCGTATGTCCAACCTCCGCCCTACAGTCCTCCTGTTCCGCCCCCACTTCTCCCCCCACCGCCTGCTCCTCGCCCCCCTCCCCACTCCCCCCAACCTCCCCCCCGCTCTCCCCCGCGCTCTCCCCCACTACCCCCTCCCCCGCGCCCTCCTCCCGCCCCCCCCAAGCCGCCCTCCCTAAGGCCCCCTCCTGTCCCCCCCACTCTCCCGCCCTTCCCGCCCCCCACTCCCCCCAAACCACCCCCTCCTCTCTTGAAGCCGCCCTCTCCTCCCCGCTCACCTCCCCCCCGCCCCCTCCCGTTCCACCTCGTTTGCCCCCTCCTGTGCCCCACCCCGTGCCCCCTCCTGTGCCCCCACCCGTTCCTCCTCCCCGCCCCCCTCTTCCCCCTCCTCGCCCTCCTCCGCTCCCCCCTCCCCTCCCCCCTCCGCGTCCCCCTCCCCGCCCTCCTCCTCACCCCCCTCCTCTCCCTCCTCCTCCCTCGCCTCCCCCATCCCCCCCACCTCTCCCCCCACCAAGTCCCCCAAGTCCCCCTCCGCACCCACCCCCTTCTCCCCCTCCCTCCCCTCCTCCCCCAAGCCCACCACCGCCCCAACCCCCCCATCCCCTCCCCCTTCCCCCCCTCCCTCCCCTCCACCATCTCCTCCCCCACCATCCCCACCATCACCCCCACCCCCTTCCCCACCTCCTCTCCCCCCATCCCCTCCCCCGCCCCCATCCCCCCCTCCATCCCCCCCATCTCCACCATCCCCTCCTCCACCTCCCCCATCTCCCCCTTCCCCCCCATCCATCTTCTCCCCCCCGCAACTCCTCAACCGCCTAGTCCTCCCATCCAATACCACTAAGCCCATGCCAGTCAGTGCTATATTCGCATTCTCTCTCTCTGCTGTGCTGGGAGCTTTACTCATGGGCGTCTGTTTTACACTCAATCAACCCTATTCCTCCTCCTCCGCCCAATCGCGCGCGTGGGCAGCAGCAGGGGCGGGGGGAGGGGGCGGCGGGGGAGGCGGCGGAGGGGTGCTGGGGGGTTTTTTAGGGGGAGGCGGGGGGGAGGGAGGGGGGGCTAAGATGGGGATACTGGGGGCGGCAGGGGGGGCGATGGCAGGGGCGGCAGCGGGGATAGCGGCCGGCAGGCATTCGTCAGCATCCCAGCAGCTTGTCACAATGTTTAACGGGCAGACAATGCATGTGGACGAGCTCCGGGCAGCCACGGAAAATTTTGGGCCCGGGCAGATGATGGTGGGCGGGGCGGGGCCGAGCGGGGCGGTGTCGTTTCTGGCTGAGATGGCGGATGGGGCGGCGGTTTTTGTTGCGAAGCAGCTGCCACCCCTGCCGGGGGGAGATGCCGTCAACTTTGTGTTCGAGGTGAGGGGGGGGGAGAGGGGGAGAAGGGGAGAGGCGAGAGGCGTGAAGTGGGGGGATATCATGGGAGTGGGGACGAGAGTGGAGGGGTGTGCGAGAGGAGAGGAGGGGGAAGAGGGGTATGGGAGGGGGAAGGAGGGGTGAGAGGGGCGTGTTAGTGGAGAGGAGGGAGAGGAGGCACGTGGTAAGGGAGAGAAGGGGTATGGGGGGGGGGAGAGGAAGGGGGAGAAAGGTCATGAGAAGGATAGGGGATGGGTGTGGGGATGGAGATGGGAGATGGAGATGGGGGAGGGGGATGGAAGGTGGAAGAGGGAGGGGAAGAAGAGAAATCTAAATGATTTAATATCCTTATCGTATCTTACTCGACGTTGGCATGGCAATGCACATCATACGCAGCACCATCATTCACCTCTAAAACCCACCGTCTCTCACCCATTTGCGCAGCATGAAGCACGGCCACTAGCAGCAGTGCGGCACGACAGCATCCTGTCAGTGGTGGGGTGCTTTTGAGTCGACTCAAAAGTCATCCTGTCAGTGGTGGGGTGCTGGGAGGTAGAGACTGTATAATAACTCAACCCACTGCCCAATCCACCCCATTCCCCCACTCTGTGCAGCACGATGCGCGCCTAGTAACGGCAGTGTGGCACAACAGCACCCTGCCAGAGGGTTGCTGGGAACGCACGGTTTGAGATGGGTTTTGAGTCGACTCAGAAGGCACGTTTTGAGACGTCTCTGAACCCAATTCTACCCCACCTCCCTTCCCCATTCCCGCCCATCTGTGCAGCATGAGGCGCGCCTAACTAGCGGCAGTGCTGCACGGCGGCATTCTGCCTGTGGTGGGATGGGTTGCTGGGAGGGCGAGCTATGAGACGTCGCAAATCTCAATACCAACCCCCCGTTTCACCCCTTCCCCTCCTCCCCCCCGCCTGTGCAGCAAGAGGCGCGCCTGCTAGCAGCAGTGCGGCATGACAACATTCTGCCAGTTGTGGGGTGCCAAACGTTCCAGCCCTCAATCCCAACACCCCAACCCTCGCCCTTCCTGCCCATCTATGCAGCATGAGGCACGGCTGCTAGCATCTGTGCGACACGACAACATTCTGCCGGTGGTGGGGTTGAGATGGCCCAAACCTCGTTCGCACCCCCAACACCCCGCACCCACCCTTTCCCCGTTGGAACGAGGTTTGGGCCATCTCATAGGCTTTGAGGGAACGGGGCACACTGGACAGATGCCGGTGCCGGTAGTGGGAGGGCACACTTTGAGATGGCCCAAACCTCGTTCCCACCCCCAACACCCCCCACCCACCCTTTCTCCCCTCGTCTCTCCAGCACGAGGCACGGCTGCTAGCAGCAGTGCGGCACGACAACATCCTGCCAGTGGTGGGGTGCTGGGAGGGCTCGTGTTGAGACGTCCCAAGACTCAATCCTACCACCTCCCCCCTACCTATGCAGCACGAGGCAAGGCTGCTAGCAGCAGTGAGGCACGACAACATCCTGCCGGTGGTGGGATGCTGGGAGGGTGCACGGGGGGGCGGGTCAAACGAGCCTATGAGGGTGCTGCTGTACGACTACATGCCCAATGGGGACCTGCGAGAGTTCCTATATGATGAGGTGAGCTGCTTTGCTGGTTTGATTCGAATGCCATTGCTTCTCCGTCTTACTCACATGCCCCATGTGAGTGCTCCTGTACAACTACGTGGCCAATGGAGACCTGCGGGAGTTGCTGTATGACGAGGTCAGTTCCCACATGTGCTGCTGTGTCACATGCACTGGTACTAGTGGGTCAGGCGAGTCCACGAGGGTGTTGCTGTACGACTGCATGCCTGGTAGGGACCTGCGGGGGTTTCGATATGATGAGGTCTGTTCCTACATGCCATGCCACACGTGCTGCTGCCACTTCATGCCACTCGTGGTGGTACTAGTGGGTCAGGCGAGGGCATGCGCGTGCTGCTGTATGACTACATGCCGCATGGCGACATGCGCAAAGTTCTCTATGATGAGGTCAGCCGCCCTGCTGCTGAGATCAGCAGTGCCATTGCTGCTCCCTCTCATTCACATGCCACGTGACGGTGCTGCTGTACGACCACATGCCCAATGGTAGATTACAATTTTTTTTCTCCCAAGTGCGCCATGCCCATGAATGCGCCACGCATATTTATGACCTGCGGGATCTCCTTTACACCCAGGTCTGCTGCTTTGGTTCCAATGGCCCTGCATGTCCGATGTGCTGTTGCCCCACATGCCACACAGCACTCTCACACAAATCCCCTTCCCTCACCACTTTCTGCCTGCGTCGCTCCGGGCCTCATCCAGTGGAGAGTCATCACTCATTCGCTTTGCATCCCTCCTCCTCACACGTCCGCCCCCTTCTTCCTCAACCTTCCGCCCCTCCTCTCTCATCCTCCCCATCCATCCCGCCCGCTCTCCTCCTGGCCCCCAGCTGGCATCACGCAAGTCCCTCCAGCGGCCAGTGCACTTCCGGGTGGCCAGGGGGGTCACTTTTGGGAGATTTCGAAAGTCATCCTCCCCATCCCTCCCGCGCCCTTCTCCCTGCCCAAATTGCAGCCCCTTCTCTCTCTCATCCTCCTATCCCTCCTCTCCCCCTCCCACCAGCTGGCATCACGCAAGTCGCTGCAGTGGCCGGTGCGCTTCCGCGTGGCCATGGGGGTGGCGAGGGGCCTCGCCTTCCTGCACAGCGGGGCGGGCGGCGCGGGCGGCATGGGCGGCGGGGCGATGGCGCACGGGGCGGTGCACCCGGGGAACGTGCTGCTGGACGGCCGCATGGAGCCAAAACTCGCCGACATGGGCGTGGCGCGGATTGCATTCGACACGGATGATGTGCAAGTGGCCGATGAGATCATGGGGTACACGCCGCCCGGTATGCCTCTCAGTGACCTTTGACTCGACTCACTCAGAAGTCATTTCATTGGCTCCAATTAGACTGTTCGTTGATGCTGCTCCTCAACATGCACTGTAAGAATTCAGACTCTTGCCGACATCGTCGTGGCTCGGATTGCATTTGATTCTAAAGATGTGCAAGTGGCCGATGAGATCATGGGGTACACACCGCCCGGTATGCCGCTTAGTGACCTTGGCTCGACTCACTGAGAAGTCACCTCATTGGCTCCAATCAGAATGTGTTCGTCAATGCAAGTGGCCGATGAGATCATGCTCTTTGATGCTGCTCCTCTGTTTTTCTCACCTCGCTTGCTGCACACCACGCACTGCATGTATCGCTTCCTTCTTCTCTTGCAGCTCCTCACGCCCCACCCCTTTGTGGCCCCAGCGTGCATGCATTGCCCCTGCGCCTCCTGCACCCCCCCTTCCCTTTCCCCCCCCTCCTCCCCCCCCTCCCCCCCCCCCCCCCCCTCCCCCCTCCTTTTTTTTCTAAACATTAACTTGATATAATACACCGAGTGAGCAAGTGCACAATATCAAAGACAGCCGTGACTGTGCTCACGGAAACTGTGTGAGCCGGCCCAAGGGGATGCCTATATGGGGCCGTGTGCCCTCATCTGCCTGGACCAGATGGCTGCAAATGCATCGGTCCACTTCCACTTTCTCCCATCTGCTAACTTTATTCTCCCGCCCCTTTCCTTTCCCTTTTTCCCCTCCCCGCCCCTTCCATCCCCCAGAGTACTCTGCCGGTCCCACCCCGCCAACCCCTGCTGGCGACGTCTACAGCTTCGGCGTGGTCCTTCTCGAGCTGCTCACAGCGCGCCCCCCAGTGGACCCGGCCTTCACAGACAACGGCACGGGCGACCTCATAGGGTGGGTGAGGGCCACCATGCAGGCGGGGCAGCCCGGGGAAGCGCTAGATCCGCGCATGGCGGACGCGGCGGAGAGTGGCGATGAGATGCTGCAGTTCCTCAAGGTGGCTCTGGTGTGTGTGGCGGAGGATGCGGATGAGCGACCGATGATGAGAGAGGTGGTGGAGATGATGGTGAGGGCCAGGGAGACCGCGGCTAAGATTAGAGAGAACCCTCAGATCAGGGATTTGTTGGAGTGACAGGGACTTGAATCCCCCCCAACAGGGACTTGTTAGAGAGGCAGGGGCTTGTTGAAGTGAAGGAGAGGGCTTGAGCCTTGCACTGCGGAGCATGGCAATGAGATGCTGCAGTTCCTCAAGGTGGCGCTGGTGTGTGTGGCGGAGGATGGGGCGCCCGATGATGCGGGAGGTGGTGGAGATGATGGTGAGGGCCAGGGAGACCGTGGCTAAGATCAGAGAGAACCCTCAGATCAGGGACCTGCTGGAGTGAAGAGGGGATGGCTGATGTGTGAGGGAATGGTGTGAAAGCGAGGGATGGAGTAGAGAGAGTTGGTGGTGGGTGCATGCAGTGCAGCGGCCTCGCAGCGTAGCAGCAAGTAGGTAATTTTGTGTGTTGCGCTGCATTCTTTGTGGTTCTGCCGTACGCTTCGGAGGCAGTGTCTGTCAGATGAAGCACAACCACGACTCATGCATAGGTACTGGATGAGCTGAGCATTCAAGGTCCCACACACCAGATGGATTCAGGCTTTCGGATGCACTGGTGGAACTGTTGTTAGCTTGCAACACTTATCAAACAAGATTTAGAAAGAGCATGCTAGCTTTATGCCAAGGGACATCAATAGAGAGCAACTAATGCACCGCTCCTGACCAGCGCCAGCACCCAGCAGCTGTGGGCAATTCTCCTTCCACAGTACTCTACCCTGCTTGGCCTCAATGCCCTTGAGGAAATACCCCACTGTCAAGCAATACCCCACTGTCAAGTTGTGTGGGGTACTCGTGCGATGGCCTATGGGGCATTGTACAAGTCTGGATGGAGAATCAAGAAACATGTAAGTCCCGTCTGGGGGTGAAGTGACGAAGTGATGTGTGCGTACACATTTGCGGCACAAGTGGCTTTAAGCTGTCAGCGTAGAGAGCTGTCAGCGTAGAGAGCTGTCAGCGTAGAGAGCTGTCAGCGTAGAGAGCTGTCAGCGTAGAGAGCTGTCAGCGTAGAGAGCTGTCAGCGTAGAGAGCTGTCAGCGTAGAGAGCTGTCAGTGCAGCCTGGAGTGTGAGAAGGGGGAGGAGAGGAGAGGAATTGGAGGTTGGGTAAGGGGAGAAGAAGAAGAGAAGAGGGAATGGATAGGAAGGGAGTGGCAGGGGGAGAGAGAGGGACGGGGAGCAGGCGCACATGCAGAATGTAAGTGGCATGGGTGACAGGGTGACTAACAATAACAGCTATAATGGTGCAGGGTGGCAGCACTGTGAGAGCATATTGGCGGGGAGAAGCACATTAAGAGCCTATAGATGGGGAGGGGCAGGGAGAGAGCGTACGAGTGGGGAGGACGGGCGCAGGCGAGTGGTGGGTGAGGCCCAGCAGCACCACCGCCTCCTCCACCAGTGGGTGCTGTGTTGCCCGGAACACCTTCAGCACCCGCTCTGTCAGTGCTCCTCTCTGCAGCGTGCGCTGATGGGGAGGAGAAGGGGGGGAGAGGGGAAGAGGAAAAAGGAAGGCAGCAGGGGACTGGTGGGTGAGGCCCAGCAACATCAAAGCCTCCTTCACCAGTGCGTGCTGTGTTGCCCGAACACCTTCAGCACCCGCTCTGTCAGTGCTCCCCTCTGCAGTGTGCGATGATGGGGCCGAGGAGGAGAGGGTTGACAGAGGGTTGCAAGGGAGGGTGATCAGTGAGGCCCAGCAGCAGCAGCACGGCCTCCTCCACCAGTGCATGTTGTGTTGCTCGAAACACTTTCAGCACCCGCTCTGTCAGTGCTCCCCTCTGCAGCGTGTGCTGACGGTGGAAGGGTAGTTGGGGGTTGACAGAGAGAGTTGACCTTTGAGGAGACTCAAAAGTCACCTAGAACACCTTCAGCACCCGCTATGTCAGTGCTCCTCTCTGCAGCGTGCGCTGATGGGGGAAGAGGGGGTTGGGGAAAATGGGTGCAGTGGAGAGGTGGGTGAGTCCCAGCAGCACCACCGCCATCACCACCAGTGCACGCTGCGTTGCCCGGAACACCTGCAGCACTTTTGAGCGGAGGGGCGAGGAGGACGGGAGGAAGGAAAAGAAAAGGTAACTGTTAAGTGAACTCACAAGCTGCCCGGAATGCTCCGTGCGTGCTCCTCTCTGAAGCGTGCACTGATGGTTGAAGGTGGGGGAAGGGGCGGAGGGAGAGAGAGAGGGAGAGAGAGAGAGCAAGATAGAGAGAGGGATGTGGAGGGAGGTGAGGGAGTGGGTGAGACATGAGGGGAAAAAGACGTGAAAAAAAAGGTGGGGCAGCAAGGGGTGGAGGTGTGGTGGCATGGCACACTGCTGGGAGGGGTATACACCCACACCCACAACAGCACCCGCACTCACCCACAGCAGCACCACTCACCCACAGCAGCACCACTCACCCACAGCAACAGCACTCACCCACAGCAACACCAGCACTCACCCACAGCAGCACCAGCACTCACCCACAGCAGCACCAGCACTCACCCACAGCAGCACCCGCACTCACCCACAGCACCCGCACTCACCCACAGCAGCAGCAGCACAATGTCTTCAGGAAGGCCCTGCAGCGACGAAACATGGTGGATGTTCGCCACTATTGAATCAGTGCATAACGAGAACAGCCTGGGCGGGGAGGAGCAGGCGGAGGAGGCAGAGAGGGAGGAGGCAGAGGGGAGGAGGCAGAGGGGGAGGACGAAGATAGTGACAATAACGGGGATGATGCTGGTCGGACCGGCTCAGACCCCATGTGTTCGCCTCGTGCTGACTCTCGTGCCACGGCTGCTGATGGGGGCATAGGCTCGCCGCCTGCTGCTGTGCTTGATGGCCCTCCCAGCCTCACCACACGCTCTTCCATTGAGTCACCTCTGCTTAGAATCACACTGAATCCGCCGTTTCTCGTCCCCTGCCCTCCTCCCCACCTTCCCCATCCTGCTCCTCTCACCGAGTTCCCACTCTCCCTCCCACTCCCCCTCCCCCTCGCCCTCCCCTCTCCCCTTCCCCGCGCTCCCCCTTCTCTCTCGCACGGCAACATAGCCTCCTCCACCAGCGATCCCCACGGCGTCACTATTGCTCGCTTCGCGCTGCTCCCCCGCCCCCTTCCGCCACCCCCACTCCCGCCTCTATCGGCGCCGCTGTTTCCGCCGCACCTTCCGCTCATCCTGCTCTCGTCATTGCGATCGATTGGTGCTCCCACGGACACACGGCCATCCCTGCTGCTGCTGTCGCTGCTACCGCTGCTGATCTCGCCGCCGCTACCTGCGGGGCCGGCGGCGCTACCCGCCGCTCCGCCCATCAGCGGCGGCTGCGCGCGGCGCCCCCCCTCGTCACCGCGCCCGTCGCGCTCTACTGCTGTTGCGTTATCATTTCGCTCTCTCGAAAATTCGCCATCCAGAGACGCGATCTCTCGCGTCTGACAAGCCAACGACAACTCTGACGCTGACGTTAACGTTGACGTTGAAGTGGACGCTGACGCAAAAGTTGACGATGACGGAAAGTTGCAACCGTCCGGTTCTTTCTCCAGGCGCAAATCTACACCCACTCCAGCCCCCGACCCCACGTCATCCCCGTCCCCACTATCCGCCGCGCCCGTTGAACAGGCGCCCGCCCCTCCGCCTCGCCGCTTGCCCTCCGCTAGCCCCACGCCTGTCCGCCCATCCGCCGCAACGGCCTCCGCCGATTGCGCGCCGGCAAGTCCGGTGCGCGACTCTGTCGCAAAGGGGAGGTCAGCAGCTGGTGCTGGGTCGGTCACGCGAGGAGTCATCAGGTCGCGGAGTAGGGTAACCAGTAAGCGATTAGAATCTGAACCCTACTTTTACGCAAGTGATGTTGGTGAATGGTGGGTAGGGATGTTTTCCCTGGTCAGAGCCGTGCGAAGGTAACCGTTTGTGCGACATTCGCTAATCCATCCCTCCAATAGATAACCTTCTCAACCAATTCGTGAATGTTATGTTTCAGCAGCGTTACATCATCGGGGATTCAACTCGGTTGAAATGGTTCAATATACTCCGATAGGTGGTATGATGGCTCACTTCCATGCGCTTGGAACAACTGGGGCTTTTCCTACTAAAAATGGTCCATTTAGAAAATGTAATGTTTCAGTTGTTTATAGTACGTTTCAGAGTGGTGACTGTCCAACCCGAACCGAATTTCCTAGGGCGTTCCACGCCCTAACGTCCTGCAATGCGCTCTCTCTAAATTGCGGTGGGGTGCGATGCTGTGCGTGTAAGGGCGGTTTATTTACTCTTCTGTTTGTTTGGGAAAGGACCTGTTTTGTCTGACTTTAAGACTCATTTAGCGCGGTTTACTACGTTCATTCAGGGTTCAAAACGGTTCCTGATTTCCGCGTTATTGCTGAACGGTGGCGGTTGACGCGAAATGCACGGTCTGCGATAGTGGCCTCTGCGAGGCGGCTCGAGATAAGCCTGACTCGCTCGTTGACGACCAAAGCTCGCTGTTTCCCATAGTCGCTACATTCCCTCCCGCTCTGTCGAAATGGATTCTTCTGGCGGTGGCGGCGGCGGCGATCACACCGCCATGCGATCCATCAAGACGAAACGAATCGTCGCACAGCATGGCCCGTCGCACGCCCCGTCTTCGCGCATCGCCGGAGCGTCGTCGCCTCGAGGCGGCGACCGCCAGGCGACTCTCTGGACCGCCATAGATTGCTGCGGCTCGCGAGAACCCGGCTCCCCCCGTTATAAGCGCCCTCGCGCAGTCACATTGACGTTACTATTACTATTCGCGCTTGTTCTATCCGCCTTCGTGCTTCTGATCATGCGATGGCCGCTAGAAGACAACTTCCTGCACTCGTATCTCGGAGCCGGCAGGTCTGCTCGAATGGAATGCATCCCGAATGAAGCGGCCCAGGGGGGCAGCGTTGTGGGCGTACTCGCGAAGCGAGAAAAGCCGCAGTCGAAGAAGCGTCAGAATCAAGATCAGCAGCAAGAGCCGCAGCAGGATGAGGAGAGGTTACCGAAACACCATGTGCAGCTATTCGATCAGGGGGAGCAGGAGGGCGGCGGAACGGAGCAAGAAAGCGGTGCTCCGACGCGGCCATTTGTATACGTGTACGATCTGGGGGAGCATCTGACGACTAAGGTGCTGAAATTGGAGCAGGAGTGGTACTCGGAACAGTACGACCTGGAGAAGCACTTAACGGAGATGCTTATGAAGCGTACAGACAACCCCGTGCGCACCATGGACCCCGAGAAGGCGTCGCTATTCTTCGTGCCCTTCTACGTGTCGCGCTACCTCTTCTCATTCTTCCATAACGACCAGAAGAACATGCGGCAATGCATTGAAAAGAGCTCACGGGTGGGTCAAGTGAGGTGCATTTGGTAGTAAGGCAAGCAACCCTACGCTCGTGCCCTTCTACGTGTCGCGCTACCTCTTCTCCTTCTTCCACAACGATCGGAAGAACATGCGGCAATGCATCGAGAAGAGCTCACAGGTGGGTCAAGTGTGGTGCATTTGGTAGTAAGGCAAGCAACCATACACTGCCCTTCTACGTGTCGCGCTACCTCTTCTCCTTCTTCCACAACGATCGGAAGAACATGCGGCAATGCATCGAGAAGAGCTCACGGGTGGGTCAAGTGATTTGCATCTGGTAGTAAGGCAAGCAGCCCTTCACTTGTCCCCTTCTACGTATCGCGCTACCTCTTCTCCTTCTTTCACACCGACCAGAAGAACATGCGGCAATGCATCGAGAAGAGCTCACGGGTGGGTCAAGTGTGGTGCATTTGGTAGTAAGGCAAGCAGCTCTACACTGCCCTTCTACGTGTCGCGCTACCTCTTCTCCTTCTTCCACAACGATCGGAAGAACATACGTCAGTACATCAAGAAAAGCTCACGGGTGGGTGGTGGTGAGTCGCGATGATTATCGCCAGTAAGCCAGGCAGCCATGCTTGTGTACAATGGGAGACGTTATTTTGGTTACCAACGAAGCATCATCATGTGTATCACACCACGTGTGCAGATGCATCAGCAGGTGGTGGTGGTGAAATTGTTGTGAGTGTCGTGGGAAGAGCAGCCATTCTTAGTACTTTTGAGCCAAGAGACGATTCTTCAGTTGATTCAAAAAGCAAACACGCGCAGCACAGAGTGCGCCACTCTTTGGACGAATTGCTTGTGAGCGAGGCGGGGCGGGAGCAGAAAGTGCTGCCCGCCTGCCTGTTGGGAGACTTCACTTTTGAGTCGACTGAAAAGTCATCTGGACGAATTGCTTGTGAGCGAGGCGGGGCGGGAGCAGAGAGAGCTGCTGTCTGCCTGTTTGGCCATGCAAGTTATGTCATTCTTGCCTTGCCACACATGCGCGCCTCTTCTACTCACTCGGGTGACAAAGTTCGGGCCAAATCCGAATCTTCCAATTGTGGCAAGGCTTGTCACCCCCACCCACTCCCCGCCCACACCTGCACTGCACCTTCCCCACTCACCCTCACACTGCCTTCCTATTCTCGCTCCTACTCCCCATTTCTCTTCCTTGCCCCACCTTCCACCAATGCCCAACCCCATTACTCCCCCCCCACCCCCCCCCCCCCCCCTTCTCCCCCGCTGGGACCCCCCAGGCGTGGACGAAAGTCTTGAAAGCTGTGCGCACCACCTTCCCCTACTTCAACCGCACCAACGGCCGAGATCACTTTGGCGTCCTCACGCTCGATCACGGCCGTTGCCACTCGCTGACGTTTGTGGATCCGCGGCTGGTGGGCGAGATGTTCTTTGTCACGTACAATGGAGACAAGCTCGTGCGCAGTGACCATGCCGCCAACGACCCCAGCATGCAGGTAACTTCTGAGGCACTCAAATCAACATGAGGGCATTACCATTCGTTGTAACGTGCATACTTCATCATGCAATGTCTCCATTCTCCCCTCCCCTCCCCTCCATTCCCTCCATTTCCTTCGATCCCCTCCCATACCCTCCATTGCCTGCTATGTGCCGGCACGCTACATTGTGCATACCTAGTTTCAAAACCTGCAATTTTTCCCAAACTGGGTTTAGCCTCATCCAGGCTAGGCAAACCTCATCCATTCCACACACCCCCCCTGCCTCCCCCCCCATGCCATCACCACCTACCGTTGCAGCTGTTTTCTCAGTCAGCAGATGCTTCATCCCCACACCCCTACCTCGAACAGATCCCCCTTTTCCTCACTTCTTCCCCACCCCATCCCCGAATCCCTATCCCTGCAGCTGCTGTCATGCCAGTACGGCACGCCAGCGAAATCCACCATCCCATCCCGTCCATTCTCTGCTGCATGCCGTGCCGGACCGTGTGACATCCCACGGATGACTACAAGCAGCACCAACTCATCCCCACCCACTCCCCCTCGCCTCTCTCGACCCCCTCCCCCCCCTTCACCCCCACCCCCTGCAGCTCCTACCAATATGGCACACCAGCAGACCCCACCATTCCCTCCATCCCAAGCTACATGCCGGACAGAGACATTCCCATGCCTGTCATCGTGCGCACCCAGGTGCCCTTCATGTGCATGCGCGAAGGTGCAACCAGCAACGCCACGCCACCATCACATCCCCACACCCCCTACCCTCCCCATCCCCCCACTCGCCCTGTTTCCCCTACCCTTGCAGCTCCTATCGTACCAGTATGGCCCACCAGCAGACCCCACCATCCCCTCCATCCCATGCTACATGCCGGACAGAGACATCCCCGTGCCTGTGATCGTGCGTGCCCAGGTGTACATCGTGTCGCCCCTCGCCTCACCACTGCCCCCCTACCCCCCGCTTCCCTCACCCCCTACAGCTCCTATCATACCAGTACGGTGCGCCAGCAGACCCCACCATCCCGTCCATCCCATCCCATGCTATATGCCAGGCAGAGACATCCCCGTGCCCGTCATCGTGCGCGCCCAGGTGCCCTTCGTGTGCATGCGCCTAGGTGCCCAGTTGCAAGCAGCAATGCCACCACCTCATCCCCACACCCCCTACCCTCCCCATCCCCCCACTCGCCCTGTTTCCCCTACCCTTACAGCTCCTATCGTACCAGTACGGCGCGCCAGCAGACCCCACCATCCCGTCCATCCCATGCTACATGCCGGATCGGGATATCACAGTGCCTGTCATCGTGCGCGCCCAGGTGCCCTTCGTCTCGCCCTTCGCCACGCCACGCAAGTGGACGGCTATTTTCCGCTTTGTGGCGTCACCGCACAAGGACGTGAAGCTCGACGTGCGCAGCAGAATACTTCAGGTGAGAGAGTGTTGCTGCTGGGGGGTTGCACTTCACTGCAGGTAAGCACGCAGTGATTTTTGAGAATTCTCAAAAATCACGCGCAGTGACTTCAACTCCCAAGATTCGTAATTGGTTGGAGTTTACCACGAAAGTTACACAACTTTCTGGTAAGAGGGCGTTTCTCAAGCGGGGATGCGTTTACCTCGAGGTCAACAAATTGAATTCGTGGTAGTTGAAGAATTGAATTCGTGGTAGGTGTGGAATTGAATTCGTAGCTGGTAGAATAGCTGGCAGAACTCTGCATGGCGAGTTACAACGGCACCCAGCTAGATGAATAGCTGGCAGACCGCTCTTGGGACTAGTACCTGGGGAATTTCGGGGTAGAGCAAGGATAGAGGGTAGAAAAGGAGATCTTAGCCACTCTTGTAAAACTGAGATGGCGCTGATGAAGGCTCCGGCTGAAACGCGCGTACGCCTCAGAATTACTAGTTGACTTCATGTCTTCTACTCTGCCCGGTTTTTCAAGCTCTACCTAGACTACCCCTAGTACGCGGAGAATAGATTTAGTTCTTTCACTTAACACGCGAGATCCGTAGGCTTGCTGCGGTCGAACCTCTTCTTACTGTTGCACGTGCGCAGCAGAATACTTCAGGTGAGAGAGTGTTGCTGCCGGGGGGTTGCACTTCACTGCAGGTAAGCACGCAGGGAGTTTCCTGCACTGCCCTTCGTGTAGCCCTTTGTTACTCCATGCAAGTGGACCGCCATCTTCCGCTTCGTGGCGTCTCCTCACCAGCATTTGCTGCTGCTGGGGGCGTAGAGGTTGCACTACATGCTGCACTGCACTGCACCGCACTGCACTGCACTGCACTGCACTGCATGCAGGTCAGTTGCGTGTGGGGCACTCCCCACGGGCATGTGCTGCTGGACGTGCGCAGCAGGGTCATCCAGGTGAGAGTGCTAGAGGGGAGTATGGATGCACTACATGCTGCAATGCCCTGCTTTGTCGTCAGTGCGCTGAGCTTTGCCGCACAAGGACATGCTGCTGGACGTGCGCTGCAGGGTCATCCAGGTGAGGGTGCTAGTAGGGGGAGTGGTTGCACTACATGCTGCAATACCCTGCTTTATCGTCAGCGCATGGGGCACTGCCCACAGGCATGTGCTGCTGGACGTGCGTAGCAGAGTCATCCAGGTGAGTGCGGGAATTTGAGGGGGTCGCACTGCACTGAGGGTCCTCGCTGCCTACCTTTTGAGGCGCCTCAAAAAAGTCCTCGCCGCTTGAGCACGCTGCGTATCCATGGCAAGTACAATCGCAGAACCCTTTTGAGTCGACTCAAAAGTCACAGGGAGTTGCAGTGCACTGAGGATCCTCGCTGCCTGCGCACGCTGCCTATCCATGGCACGCACAATCGCAGAACCCGTAGCACCCATGCAAGGAGGGTGCATGGCAGGAGGGTTCATGGAAGGAGGGTGCATGGCAGGAGGGCATGGTATAAGGGGGGTGGGTGCCATGTTGTCACAGAGCAAACTTGCACCAGCTCGCGAATTCTCCTCCCCTCCCCTCCTCCCCTCCTCCACATCTCCTCTCCTTCCCCCGTTGTATCCTCTCCTCCTCCCCATCTTCTCCCCTCCTCCCCCAAATTCTCTCTCCCTTATCTCCTCCCCCTCTCCTCTCTCCTCAATCTTCTCTCCTCGCCTCCCTTTCCGTGCACCGCAGGCAGCCAAGGTGAACATGACACTGGGGTGGGACATGTTTGCAAAGAGTGGCAAAAGGACTGACCTCTCCTCTTTCCTCCTCTCCTCTCCTCTCCTCTCCTCTTCTCTCCTCTCCTCTCCTTTCCTCCTCTCTCTCTCCTCTCCTCTTTCCTCCTCCTTTCCTCCTCCTCCTCTCCTCTCCTCTCCTCTCCTCTTCTCTCCTCTCCTCTCCTCTTTCCTCCTATTCTCGCCTCCCGTCTCCTCTCCTCTCCTCTCCTCTCCTCTCCTCTCCTCTCCTCTCCTCTCCTCTCCTCTCCTCTCCTCTCCTCTCCTCTCCCCCTCTCCTCCCCTTCCCCACCCAGGCAGCGAAGCGGACATGGCACCGGGGTGGGACCTGTTCCCCAAGAGCGAGGAGAGGACGGACAAGGACTGGCAGCAACATACATACTCTCCTCTCCTCTCTCCTCTTCTCTTTCCCCCTCTCCTTTCCCCTTCCCTGGCCAGGCAGCGAAGGCGGACATGGCACCGGGGTGGGACCTGTTTCCCAAGAGCGAGGAGAGGACGGACCAGGACTGGCAGCACAGCGTCTTCTGCATCTGCCCGCCCGGCCACTCCCAGTGGACCAGCCGCCCCTTCAAGGTGCGTGCGAGTTGCTACAGAAATGGTAATGCAACCATATTGTCGCTTCCTTTCAACAACCACTTGATATATGCTGGCCCAGCACGGCCACTCTCAGTGGACCAGTCGCCCCTTCAAGGTGCGTTGTGTGTGGATGTGCCGTGCGGGATTGGAAGCTTCCCAATGTCTCAGGGGGGAGACCACCACGACCAACAAGGACTGGCAGCACAGCGTCTTCTGCATCTGCCCGCCCGGCCACTCCCAAGGTGCGAGTTGGACCAGCTGCCCCTTCAAGGTGCGTGCGAGTTGCTACAGTAATGGTAATGCAACCATATTGTTTCTGCCTTTCAACAACCACTTGATATGCTACCTGCTGGGCCACTCCCAGTGGACCAGCCGCCCTTTCAAGGTGCGAGTTGCTACAGTAATGGTAATTCAACCAGACTGTGATTGGTTTTCAATCTTACCATGATTGTCTTTCAACCATACTGTGATTGTCTTTCAACCATGCAGTGATTGTCTTTCAACCATACTGTAATTGTCTTTCAACCATACTGTAATTGTCTTTCAACCATACTGTAATTGTCTTTCAACCATACTGTAATTGTCTTTCAACCATACTGTAATTGTCTTTCAACCATACTGTAGTTGTCTTTCAACCATACTGTAATTGTCTTTCAACCATACTGTTATTGTCTTTCAACCATACTGTCATTGTCTTTCAACCATACTGTCATTGTCTTTCAACCATACTGTAATTGTTTTTCAGCCAGAAAATTACAACCACTTAATATGCTACCTTCTGGGCCACCCTCAGTGGACCAGCCGCCCCTTCAAGGCACGAGATGCTATAATAATGTAAACCCAAGCAGATTGTACCTGTCTTTCAGCCATAAAGTGACAACCACTGAATATGCTATCTGCTGGGCCACCCTCAGTGGACCAGCCGCCCCTTCAAGGTACATCCGCCCCCTTCAAGGTACATCCGCCCCCTTCAAGGTACATCCGCCCCCTTCAAGGTACATCCGCCCCCCTTGATGACGCTCTTGCAGGAGAAACAGACTAATCGCGCGCCTTTTTCATCCATGCCTGCCATCTGTGGTGTTCCCCTCTTTCCTCATCCTGCCCCCTATGTTCCTTCCTCTCCTCCACTTCCGCACAAGGCACTAACTGCTGGCTTTATGGCATGACATGCTGCATGGCGTCACATGCTGAATGGCGTCCCATGTTGCATGGCGCCGCATGCTGCGTGGCGGCACCCACCAAAGCATGCCAGCACACACCCTTGCAGCTCACAACCCTGTCAGCCTCCCCAACTTATGTCTTACACCACCTCCCTGCCTCCCCCCTCTCTCACCCCCCTTCTCTCATCCTATCCCCTCCTTCCCGCTCTTCTGCCACCCATCAGCCACTCATCTCAGGGTGCAATCCAGTGACGTTTTTCCACGAGCATGACAACCCCTGGCAGTGCTTACTCAGCCTGGCAGTGCTTACTCAGTGACTCTTGAGTCAAGTCAAACTCCCTTCCCTCCTCTGCCACCCACCAGGCGCTCATCTCAGGGTGCATCCCAGTGACGTTTTTCCGCGAGCACGACAACCCTGGCAGTTCTTGCTCGGTGACTCTTGAGTCAACTCAAATTCCCTCCCCAATCCTCCTTCCCCTTCCCCCCCCCCCCTCCCCCCCCCCCCCCCCCCTCACCCTGGCACCACCTCTCCTCACCCACAGGCGCTCATCTCAGGGTGCATACCAGTGACGTTCTTCCGCGAGCATGACAACCCGTGGCAGGACACGCTCAACTACGATGCTTTCTCCGTCAACATCGACCCTGATGACGTGCCGAGGATGAGAGAGAGGCTAGAGAAGGCGAACGTGCCCATGCTGCAGAAGGGCGTAGAGCAGGTGCAGGTGCGTGTGGTAGGTGCAGGTGCGTGCCTTTGAATGCATGTGGAGTTATGCAGCAGGTGCAGGTGCATGCAGCTCTGACAACCCATGGCAGGACACGCTCATCTACGATGCTTTCTCCGTCAACATCGACCCTGATGCTGTGCCGTCCATGCGAGCCAGGCTGGAAAAGGCTAACGTGCCCATGCTGCAGAAGGGCGTGGAACAGGTGCAGGTGCGTGTAGCAGGTGCAGGTGCGTGTAGCAGGTGCAGGTGCGTGTAGCAGGTGCAGGTGCGTGTAACAGGTGCAGGTGCGTGGAACAGGTGCAGGTGCGTGTAACAGGTGCAGGTGCGTGTAACAGGTGCAGGTGCATGTAACAGGTGCAGGTGCGTGTAACAGGTGCAGGTGCGTGTAATAGGTGTTTGTGTAGGTGCATGCATGGCAGCACTTGCTCAAATACGATGCCTTCTCCGTCAACATTCACCCTGACGACGTGCCGTCCATGCGAGCTAGGCTGGAGCAGGCTAACGTGGCCATGCTGCAGAAGGGCGTGGAACACGTGCAGGTGGGTGTAGAGCACGTGCAGGTGGGTGTAGAGCACGTGCAGGTGGGTGTAGAGCACGTGCAGGTGGGTGTAGAGCACGTGCAGGTGGGTGTAGAGCACGTGCAGGTGGGTGTAGAGCACGCGCAGGTGGGTGTATGTAGAGCACATGCAGGTGGATGCCCATGTGTGCGATTCGTTTTGAGACCTCTCAAAGCCAACAATATATCACGTGACCTGTTGTCTATGTGAGTGAGGTTGGAAAAGGGGAGCGTGGCCATGCTGGAGAACGGCGTGCAGCACGTGCAGGTGCGTACCAAGGTGTGTGATTCGTTTTGAGACGCCTCAAAGCCAGCCTAGTATCACATGACGTGCCGCCCATGCGAGCGAGGCTGGAGAAAGCGAACGTGCCCATGCTGCAGAAGGGCGTGCAGCAGGTGCAAGGGCGTGCTGCAAGTGCAGGGGCGCGCTGCAAGTGCAGGGGCGTGCTTCAAATTGCATGGGTGCTGCAGGTGCAGGTGAGTGCAACTGGTGCATGCCTCTGTGATTCATGAATACTCATGTAGACTTATGCAACATATCCAGGTGTGTGCATTATGTAAAAGTGTGTTCCTCTGTGTGTGATCTGTGAATGATTATCTAGGCTTTTGTTGCATCAACTCATATCCACCTGTGCAGCCACCTCACCATGCCGTGTGACTCCTCTGCCATTCTGCCACACCCCAGGCACTCTTCCGGTGGTCAGGGTCATGGAGCGAGGGAGCAGAGTCCATGCTGCTGCAGGAGCTGAGGGCTAGAGTGGACTTCTTGCATCGGTTCAAACAAGACTGAAGAAGCTGGGTGTTAGAATACCAAAGTGTAATAGACAGTCAATGCCAGCAGGTGCATTGTCTCCCAACTTGTCTCCCAAAGTGCAGTGTCGGATCCCTTGCAGAGGAACGGATACTTCTAGCATGACAGTGATGAGATGAGCGGCCTCGCAGGCACGGTGCCGAGCAGGCCTCTCCTTTGCAGGGCGTTTTTCTACCCTGATTTGTCCGAGTTCTTGGTATTTCGACCCAGCCTTGAGGCGTTCTCTAACTGACCTGCTTTCTCCTGTGTGGTAACAATGGAGTCTGCATGATACAAAATCTTTGCACTAAACATTGCTACTACTCACAACATTCGAAAACTCACCCCTTACCACACAGAGCATAACCGTTATTTGGATGAGACACAACGATATCACGAACATTAAGCTGTCGAACGTAATTCCGCAAGAACGTTGTTACTTGTGCCAGTGTACCTTCATCCATCCGAAACGACAAGAAGCTGTAGCGCTTGAGCGAACCACCCTGCTTAGTAGTTATGTTTTTCCAATTAAGAGATGCCGCAAACTGCTCCGAATATACCCCACGAAGACAATCTATACCAGCCGGTAGCGCCACGGTAGAAGGAGAAACCCCCCCCGACCGGATGTTGTCCACACGAAGCTTAGATACGTAGTAGAATTTTTGTTCGGAACTTCTGCCAAGCAGATAATGGGAAATCATGTAGGGACCACCAAGCAACAGGAATCCTCATGGCTGGCAATACTGCATACCCTCCAGTGGTGAAATATGTGTAGGATTCATGGCACGCCCACACTAGTACTAGTGAACGATGCGCGCTGCAGTGTGCATCAACTTACTTGAGTATCTTCAACCACATTTTCCCGGATGCTCCTTTGTCTCCCACCACTTTTTTTTTTGTGTGTGGGTCGGAACTTGTATTTATAGACCTCTGCAATGAAAGTGCACGATGATGAGACATTGAGAGATGAATTGAATCAGGATACTCTTCAGAATGGCTCCGCAGCACAAGTGGCCCGACTGTATGCACAAGTTCCGACTACTACTAGTAGTACTTAGACTCATAGCTCGGAATGAATATGGGCTGCCAGCACTCACCGACGATCTTCCATTTCACTTTCTGTTGAAGGGACGCATCGAGGGGCACGGCTAGCGACGGAACGGAGGACGACTCGAGCAACGCCGCTGACGCCGCACCTATGGAGACGATTACACCTGAGGCTCAACACACCACATGTTATGGCATGATGTCACTGGAAAATACTAGTATAGTAATAAATTACAGATTTCAAGCATCACTTACAAATAAAAACGTAGGAAAATGACGCCGTTCGTTTCATGTTTTGAGGATGAAAAGCCGCGACGAGACCTGTTCTGACAAGATTTTCAGTGAAAGAGGAAGTACTAGTGGTACTAAATGATTTCGACATTGCAGTTTAAGTACTAGCCGTCAGGGATTGGCATGTTCGCGGATTGACTTCGAACTGCCGTTGACTTGCTTGTGCTCTGTCAAGTTGTCAGCGGACGAGCGCAGGCACCAGTAGGTAGTGTAACCCCGCACCTGGTAACCCGGCCGTTACGCACACCCGGGTGTACGCACACCCGGCCGTACGCACACTGGGCTCTACGCACACCCAGTACACCCCGGCTGTACGCACACCCGCTAAACCCAGCTGTACGCACACCCGGTAAACCCGGCTGTACGCACACCCGAGGCCCGTTCGGCAGGCATTTTAACACTCTCAGGTTCGGCTCCATCCGCCTTAGAACCTTTATTGATCAGCAAACGATCTCGAACCTTGATAACCGATCGTTTGCTTATCAATAAAGGTTCTAAGGCGTCTCGTTTAACTGTAGCTGGTTCTCGAGCCTGATATTCAACGACTGCCGAACAAGGCCCCGGTAAATTCGGCTGTGCGCACACCATCCCAAAAATGTGTTCCGGGGGGGGAGCGTACGTGGGTACGGAGTGGGTACTATGTGGCTAGGTGTATGCTGGAAACTTAGTATGGTGTGCGTGCTAACTACAGTACATACCCACTGTCATGTTTAGGTACAGTCGATGTCCAATACAAGAACACCAGGTAGGCGGGCGGCATGTGAGTGCAACAAGTTTTGACATTTCGCTCATTCGCCCGTGCTTTCGCCCTCGTCGCCCCAGGCAAAATTGTGACTCAAAAATGAAAGTGCAATGAAAGTGGAATGTGGGGCTTTAATTTCACCACTCTGGTGACGTGTATCCTTTGTTGTTTGCGCACTATAGATGTTGACTTCCGCACATAGGTGACTGTACAACGAAAACTTCATAATGCTCAGTTCAGTCACATCACGGGCGCGAGTGAGTAAATTTGTAATTGTGAAAAGCATTTGTTTTGTAATAGGGTGAGCATCGACTGTACTCTACGCGATATATATCCCAACCAATAATTTTGTGACTGCGTGGGTCTTGCCCAGTCGCAACAATGTACCCAGTCACCTTGTGCTCCCCCCATACTTTACACGTGGCTTATACCTACTGTATACTCGGCGTTCGCTGTGCCAACTCTGACGATTATGTCGATCGTTTCGTATGCGAACAATCAAGTTACCTGCAATCTGATTTTGTGCATGCTCGTCGGAAACTGAAAGCAACGCTTTTGGTTTAATTTTTATGAGCAAAAAAGTTGGAATATGAACCGTAGATCGGATACTGGACTGAACGATGGAGATCTGTGCTCGAACTCAAAAGGACTAGCCGAAACGTTCCAGTTCGGCCGAACCAGGCCTAGTAGGAAGATGCTTCAAAAGCAGGGTCTCACGTATATCATTTGTTTTGCAGTTGATGACTTCACCCTGGTTATGATTGGTCAGCGAAGTGGAAAGAATGACGAACGGTGTGACGAGGGGAGCGAAGGAAACACAAATCGTACTTTGTGTCCGAACCAGCTAGGCACGGAAATTGGTTCGGTGCCGAAGCTAGAACACCAGCAAAATGTTCGAGCATCCCAAAAGTCTCATGTACCAGCAAAATGTTTTGCAATTGCATCGCAGGCAAAAACGGGAGGTGTCGCACAGTCAATTGCCAAACCAACCCCTAGAATTCGCCAACTCAAACAGGGTGACTCAGCTTCATTTGTTTTGCAGTTGATCACGATTTCTCCTACGTGAGACCCTGGTTTCAAGATTCTCGTTCCACACACATATTCCTAACACCTTAAAGAAACATTCGTTTCAAGCACAGAAACCCTTTTCACTAGTTTGCCCTATATTGCCTTATTCTAATATGCTTGAAGGACTCAATATATGAGGTTTCGAGTGCTTCAACTGGTGTACCCTATGGCACAGTTTAAGTCAGGCATATAATATTCTAAACATGTTTATTGTGTCCAGCAGGGCACTCGTCATTAGACATAGGACAATCGTTCATTGATTAAAACAAGTGATCCTTGCGATAATAGACGTCTGCATCTTCGAAGGACCAAACGATGTGTACGATGCCGAGATGTCCGCCACTGGAATCACATCAAACCCCTCAGGTGAGTTGGTGGGGTTAATTGGCTTGTGCGCTTCCGATGCTGTATGACTAGAGTGGGTCTCTTGCCTCAAAATCTGCACGTACGCATGGCCCTCTGTGCTTTTTGGCGAGACACGGAAAATAAGCAGCACACTACCACAGGGTTGGGCTCGCGCCGAATGCGTACGTATGAGAAACATGGCTTTCCATGAAAGTTGTGACTAGCACGCACCCAGCCGGCCTCCATCACCATGGCGCCGTCACGCCACTGCCGACTAATCGCGAGTGCAGTGTGAACCTGAGGGTGTGGCAGGTTCAAGGGATGAGGTGAAAGCAATAGTGAGGGTACTGGGTGGGGGTTAGATGCCATGGTTCAGATCTCCATGGAGCAGTAGAAAGCCAATGAGTTTAGGCCAATGTGATGCGTCCGTTGGTGACAGCAGACCACCATCCCGCATGCTGTGGGCTCGCATCGTGTAGCTAGTTTGCTAGCTAGTGTGGGATACAAGCGATGAGCTGCTAGTTTCTGATAAAATAGACCCGGGTTGTTCATGCCATGGGTGTGCATCACTGAGCACACATCAGGTTACACAACCCTTTGCTACAGCTGTGTCATTATGCGGTCACGAGTTGTGAGTGCAAGCTGATCGGAACGCATACCAACTCGTTGAAGCACGCTGCCAATGTGTTCCATGGCTCCGGGGTTGACGCTCCTGAACGAGTCCCATAACTCCTCAGCTTTGCGCTTGAGACCAACTCTGGCCTTAAGCTCCATAGCCTTGTAGTGTCGGGTCATGGAACCCTTTGCAGTCATTAGTGCCTGACATTACCACGCATCAATGGTTTTTTTGGTTGCTGGGGGGGTGAAAAGGGAAGGGGGGGGGGGGGGAGGGAGGAGGGAGATAGGGGATGGTAAGCTCCATATACTTACAAACCACCATAATCCACCATCAGTCAATTGTGGCACCAACCGCACTGTCATGCGTGCCGCCAACACGCATGCCATCATTGTTGGGACGGGGGGGTTGGAAACATTGAAAGAAAAGGGGGGATACAAAGGGGGAAAGAAGGAGAGGAAGGAAATAATGGGAATGAGGAGATGGAAGCTTGAGATTGAAGCTTCACCGAGAGTAGGAACAGAGCATAAACCTCACTCCACTTGGGAAAACGGAAAGGCATTGCATGGTAGAGCAATATGAGGTGCGGATACGATATAGGAACGAGGAATACATCACATGGCTGAGTGTGGGTGTCCGTGGTTAACGCTGCCGCTATCAGCCCTAAGGTTACTAGGGTGTTGCCTCTCCAACCCAGTGACACTAGGTACCGGTAATACACACCTCTCGCATGGCAGTCATGTACGAAATGTCGTCACGTGCAGCAAATGGGAGTGATCGCAGAGCCGGTCTCACGTCGTCGGCAGCAATGATGGCTGCATGAATCTGTCGCCGATTTGAGCTCTTGTAAGGCCGTTTTACCAACGAGACATGACTGTGCTCGAAGATGTTGGTTGAGTATTCTTCAAGAATGCCACGCGATGCAATCGCAAAGGGCAGGTGGGTGAGGGCGTGGACCTTGATGAGACGCCACCCTGACTTTTGGTTAGGGAATGTCTTTTTGCACTGCCGCACCAGCCTGCACATAGAATGGCGACAAGTTCACTCACAGGCATTCGAAAGAGGCATTTTGCGATCAGTCTGGCAAGTGGACAACCAGCACTTACTCCTCGGTACGGGTTGCTACTGTGTTGATGCTTTCTCGGGTGTGTCTCGGCACCCTGAATGTTCTCGAGTACCAATCCAAAGATGTCACAATAAGGGACATCTTGGATGGGCTGAGAATGCCCTAAACAATGTACAAGGACACCTGCATCATGGCATGGTGCTCTGCCGCGGCATAATTACCGGCCAGGTTTTGAAAGTTTTAGGCCAGGTGCTCGCGTTAACAAGTACAGTTCTCCATGCCGCCTAGAGACACCACTAACACAAGTCATAGGGTTCACAACCATACACGAATATTAACCACAAGCCATATTGGCCCATGATTGCCAAGAGTCCCGGCGAATATTTCTCGCGCACTTGCTCGAGGATATGCTTCCAAAGGCCTATATCCACGACATGAAGCACATCCGGCAGAACGAAACAATAGGGGTTTCCCCGAGGTTCAAGTGCGGCTGCCCATTTGCAGAACGTGTTCTGCATGTGGCGATGGTGTTGGTGTTAGTCTCAACTTCGTGATGGTTACCAAAATGCCACGAAGCACCAATTAGCACTACCTACCTCGACCATGTTTGTTCCTTTAGGCTTTGTCAACTTCTTGTCGTGAATCAGTGACATTTGGGTCTTTGGATCCCGTGTCAGGAAAAGACAGTCCATCGCATCAAGACACTCTTGTGTGACCTCACAAGTTGAGCATGGCATGGCACTGCCTTGCTGCATGGTACCAGTCACCTTACACCCTTTGGGGTAGTCACAGGCGTAGGCATACATGAAGGGGTACACCCTCTGCTCTACGCCATGTGGATCCCGCACTGAAGTTCCACTGCGACACAACAAAAGGATCAATAAGTAGGTGCGGGGCTAAAATCAAAGCATTACACGTCTCAGGTGGATGGACTTGCCAACAACCCCAATTAACATGCCAGTATGACGCGTTGACGAGGGGGGCGAAGATGATGTCTATGCATGCTTGAAAAAGTCAAGTTTTAACGACTGGCTTTAGCTCGTAGTCGGGCAATGGCAGCAGATCAATCATTGCACGTGAGGATGGCTTCCACCGATCCTCACGAGGTATATTAGCCAGCGTCATCTGCATCGGCCAGACTTTTTGCCTTCCTTTGTGACTTAG